CTCCCTGTCTCCTTCACTTCTCAGAAATAATCATATTTTTATGGCTTCTGTTCTTAGTCCTTTGAGTCTCTCTAAATGATCTGTACACACTTTTATTACAATTTCTTAAGCAGACAGAATTTTATTATAACTATGGTAAATATTTAGGATTCATGTAGTGTTTAAATGAATGTTGCTGTTGTTGTTGTTATGTGCTGTCGAGTTGGACCCGACTCATAGCGACCCCTCCTTGGGTTTCCGAAGTGGTATCACTACGGAAGTAGATTATTCAACCTTCCTTCTGAAGAGTGGTTAGTGGGTTTGAACTGCCAGCCTTCTGGTTAGCAGTCAAGTGCCTTAAGCACTACGGTCCCAGAGGTGCTGTTTCAATGAACAGAATCACTAATTCTCAAAACACTGTATAAAAGTCATTCTGACTTTCTGGAGCCATGGTAGCTAGAAGAACCCCTGAAAATACTGCCCGGAGAGAATCTTTAAATTTTAAACAAAAAAAAAAAAATCCCTACAGTCTTAAATCAAAAAATAGTTTAGCTTAACTGGCAACAAATGTTTGCCTTGAGCATTATTCCTTTTTTAAGATTTATATGGGATCAAAGGGAGCTCTTTTGGAGTAGTGCCTCAGGTATTTGACTGCTAACCAGAAGGCTGGCAGTTCAAAGCCACCATCCACTCCTTGGAAGGAAGGTTGGGCATTCTACTTCTGTAGTGATACTGCCTCGGAAACCCAAGGAGGGGTCGCTATGAGTCAGATCCGACTTGATGGCGATGGCGATGGGACCAAAGGAGCCTTGGTGGCACAGTGGTAAAAGTATTTGGCTGCTAACCAAAAGGCTAGCAGTTCAAACTCATGAGGTACTCCATGGGATAAAGATTAGGCAGTATGCTACTATAAACTTTACAAGCTTGGAACACCTATGGGACAGTTCTACCCTGTCCTTTGGGAATCAGCTTGATAGCAGAGGGTCATGGGATCAAAGTGACAATAGCAGCTCCAAAAATTAGCTAGGAACCTTAGGGGATAACTCAGAAAAGGAGGGTGAAAATGGTTGTACAACTTGAAGAATGTTATTAGTGTCACTGAACTGTATATGTAGAATCTGTTAAATTGATGTATGCTTGCTACGTATAGTCTGAACAACAAAATAAAATTAATTTTTAAAAAAGTAACTCTGTATTAATTTATTACTAAAATTCAACAAAAAGTTGTTAAAAGCCAACAAAGATCCATTCTACTGTTAACAGACATGTCTTGCTGTCTACTCATCCTCTCAACACAGTAAAAATGTAAAGAATAATAAAATGATTCATCTATAATCTAAATATGCAATCTCATGCTGGGCTTTTTCTTAAACATCAATACTACACTGATAATAAGTAACCAATCGACTACTCTTTGTGAATTCCAGGTCCTTTTCCGCCACTTTCACTTAAAAATTGCTAATTTATTTAATACAGGATGGTTTTAGAAGAATGAAGGCTTATCATAATTTGAATAGTATGGGATCTAAAATACTTTGGTTTTATCAAATAAAATTCATGGTGCTAAAAATCTGTGGTATTAATATCTGTGACAGGAGTGAAATAATGATGTGGTAGAAAGACTAAATTTTGGAGTCCAGCATAACTAGGTTAGAATCTGGCTCTGACTAGGTAATTTACCAAATACTCCAAGCTTTGATTTTCTTTCCTGAAAGACTGTAATAATAATCCCCTTTTTGTGTTATTACAAATATTAAATAATACATACAAAGCACCTAACAAAGTTTGAACTTTAATAAGTGATTGAAAATGGTGACAGTATTATATGAATAACAGTTGCATAGTGCTTTAGGAAGTACTTTCAAGTATGATAATAGTCTTACTAATGAGGCCACAACTCCCTGATCACCAAACTCGAAAGTGGCAGAACTGGCACTTACATTCAGCTTTTCCCAAAATGCTAATACCAAATAGCTACTTTCTACTACAAATCTTTTACTAATGTTATGAAAGCACTTTTGATCATCTGACGGCCAGTAATTAGTCAGAACAGTGACCATATGGTCAATTTTCACTTTGCAAGCTCACGATTGCATGGTGAAACTAACAGATATATTAAGTATGTGATGTTTGGCTGTTCAGAAAATAAACATAAAAGTAAATATTGCCAAATGATTTTTCTTTTGTACACAGTTGACTGTGTATAACATCTTAGTAAGTTTATCCCTGAACCCAACCCAAAACCCACTGCTGATGAGTCAATTCCAACTCATACTGATCCTATAGGACAGAGTAGAACTGCCCCATGGAGTTTCCAAGGCTGTAACCTTATGGAAACAGACTGCTTCATCATTTTCCTGAGGAATGACTGGTGGGTTTGAACTGCTGATCTTTTGGTTAGCAGCCAAATGCTTTTAACCACTGTTCCACCAGAGCTCCTTCAGCCGTGAAGGTAGGTGAATTTAATCAGTAATTTGAATTTCTTCAGTGGCATAAGATTAATAAACATTTTAATAAAGATTGTGATTTACTGTAATTTCTTATCTCAAATAATTATTTAATCAACAATCTTTTGGGTAAATATAAAAAGCTGAGGTTTATAATAAAATTATCATTTTAAAGCAAGCTTTTCTCCACTAGAAAAATAGCTATTTTTTAAAAATGTGAATAAAATGTTCATCCTATAAAAATTATTCACAAAGCCCCTAATTCCCTATTTTAATAAAGTAGAATTTCTCAAATTTTCTAAGCTGTGATCTACGTATTTTATTTAGGATAAGATACAGAAGTAGCATGCCAAAAGACTCAGGTAGAGCCAAAAGGTACAACCACATAGGAATCACATGTCAAAAACACACTTCTTACTTTTCTCATTCAGGTATTAGTCAGATATTAATATCAAACTTTAAACAGAAGTATCCATTCTAAAAAACACATTCCAAACAGCACCATAATCTTATTGAATAATCATTAAATGAAGGTTTTCACTACCATTTTGTTTGTTTTTTTAACACCTCTATATCCGACTTCAAGAATTCCTGTGTACCTGTGTGGTGCAACCATTCTGTGTACTCAGCTGCTAACTGAAATGTTAGCAGTTCAAATTACAGGCATCTCAGAAGGCCTAACAATCTACATTCAAAACATCAGCCAACAAAAATCCTATGGGACACATTTCCACCCTGACACAGAGGGGGTCATCATGAACCTGAGTCAATCTGACAGCAATTGGTTAATAACTGACTTGAAAAGGTAGGTCAGCCACTTAATTTGAGTGCTACTGTGGTGATTTGCTGAAAGTACCATGGACTGCTAAAAGAACTAACAGATCTGTCCTGGAGGAAGTGCAGCCAGAATGCTCCTTGGAAGCAAGAATGGTCAGACTTCGTCTCACCTATTTTGGTCATGTTGTAAGAAGGGACCATTCCCTGGAGAAGGATGTCATGCTTGGTAGGGTGAAGGGTCGACGAAAGAGGGGGAGGCCTTCAACGAGATGGATTGACATGGTGGCTGCGATGATGGGCTCAAGTATAGCAGGGATTGTGGGGCTGGCGCGGGATAGGGCAGTGTTTCATTCTGCTGTGCGTGGGGTCGCTATGAGTCGGAAACGACTCGACGGCACTTAACAACAACAACAACAACTGTGGTGAAATGAGTTCCTTTATATGGCCTTTTGCCTTGGCTTTTTGGAAAACCAGTTTAAGAGATTTTTTTTCCCTAAGCCTTAAGAAGTTTCCTTGGCCCTAGAATTGTACTCCAGAAGGACTTTTGTCCAGGTTGAATTTCCAGGGTAAGCTGTACTTGGTTTGGCACTTTTTGTCTGGTCCTGGGCAGAAGCCTACCCTGTGATTGGTATGTACCTCACAGGGATTGGTCAGCAGACTAAGCAAATGAGGGAAGTTGCAGTCTAGCCACACCTACTATGCAAATGAAGTATCTGTTACCTACCAAGAGGGGATTGGTCAGTTCTTGGCACTGGTGGGAGGGCCATCCCTTAAAATTTATGAGGAGTTTGTCAGACAGAAAGAAGCATTAAGAGAAACAGCAGAAAGAAGCTGAAGGAAGAAAGCAGAAAGAAAGAGAGAAGCAGCAAGAAATCTCCTAAAAAAGCTGTACCACTGGTCAAGGGCAGTAACACTGAAGACAGCGAGAGTCCCAGAAGGGGCCCAGCAACAGAGCCCTTCGCAGCAGGCCCAAAAGGGGCCCACTGGCAGAGCTGGTGGTGACAGATGGCAAAGGCAAGAGGAACCTATCCTCAGGGGGCCAAGAGGAGTCTGTCCACAGGGGGCGAAGAGCTGCTTAGAGAGCTGTCCTGCACTAAAGAAGGGTGGCTTTGCCTACATGCTTCCTGATACTGCTCTCAAGATGTATTCTGTTACTTCCTTAATAAACCACTTAGCTGTAAGTTAAGTATGGTCTGTAAGTTCTGTGTGGCCATTACAATGAATTATTGAACCCAAAAGGGAAGTGGAGTGCAATGGAGTGTGAGAATTTTTTAAAAGTTGGAGGGTGAAGGTATGTCCAACCTCCACCTTACAGGGATCAGCCTGGGGCTGATCTTGATTAGCATTATGCTCCTTAAAGTCAGACAGGTTTTGCTGTTGCTACTATCTCTACAACTCCTACCATCATTTCTCAGTGATATAATCAACTTAAGGTGGTTGCTTTTACATCATTTCATCATCTGCAAGGCCAGGAATCAAAAACTAACTTCTCTCTCTTGGATTTAGACTAATGAATTCTAAAAGTTACAATTAACAATACTCAAGGTTTTCTATAATATCGTTTCAACAGATAAAACACTAAAACACATATAACATTAAGTTGCATGATTTTACCAAGGCACTAAAGTAAATTACAAAACATACACTGTTATTAAAATAATTCTTGTCAAACTAAGGCATTACATCATATTTCCAAGGAATGAAACAAAATTAAAAAAAAATGATACTTATATCTTATCTTCAGATTTTTATTTACATTAAAATTGCTTTTCTATTTGAGGAAAACTTTGACATTACCTCCTGTCCTGATACTGTCACATATTGTGCAGAAGGATTTTTTAGTATTTTTCGTATTTCTTGCAAATGTATTTGGATCTTGTTAGTAACTTCTTGAATTTCATCCTTTCTCTTCTTAATTATAGGGAAGTCAGAAAGGTCTTTGAATAATTCAGTTTTGTCCCCGATTCTAAAAAAATGAAAAAAAGATGCAAATACCTATATTGAAGTATATTAATTAGGTTAAGTTTCCAATTTCTTTTTGTAGCATGATGAAAGGGCTTGAAGTCAGGAAAACAGAGCTCTGAGTCCAGCTACTTAACTACTTATAGGTAAGTCTCTTAATTTCTCTTAAGACAGACAAAATAATCTTAATGTCATTTTCATCTTGCAAGTTCCTGATTCTCTGAAACCATGAGATACAATTAAGTATCTGTTGTTTGCTTGTTCAGAAAACAAACACAAACATAAATATATAAATATTGTGAAATTATTTTTCTTTTATATAAAGCTGTTTGTGGAATGAAATGTGAAATGAGTGCCACTCAAAGGATAACTTTGCTTCTGCGTATTCTAAAAATAAGGCAACCATCCCTGGATAGTTAGCAAGTGAGGACAAGATGTCATCTGACACCATGTCTGGATTAATGAACTGCTACTACCTGGCTTTGCTTAGGCTTTATCTTGTCACCGGCGACACATGTAGAAGTACATATTTGTCCTAGGTTATGAAAGGCCTGAATTTTAGACAGCAAAGTGTTACCTTCCAGCTGTAATATGGAACACTGAGGTCTTTAGTATCCAATCAAGTTTCTAATTTCATATGTGGATATGCAATTTCTACCATTACTTCTAGTGAATATTAAGAATCTACACAGCAAATGTATTAAGATTGCATTCAGTGTTGGAAAGGAAGAACTGAAGGTCTGCTACTTACTTGGCAGCGTGTTCATTAAGTATCTTTACATAATGCTCCACTGGGCTGAGAAGTTCAGGAATTTCTAAAATAAATGTCTGGAGCAAGTTGGACTGAATTTGGGAATTAGCAGCAGGTATTAATGCTTGAAATTCCAACTTCAAGTGATACAATGTCTTGATAATCAAGAAGAACTCCTGGGTAGAACACTGAAAACAGAAATATTTTTTGCCCAAATAGCATAACACATATAAAAATAAAGCTTAATGAATAATCTTTTAAAAGTTAGAATCAGAATATGAGGAAATGTCCATTTATTTTATAAATTAGTTAACTAAGAGAAATACTTCTAAATATTAAATCAATAGGATAAACACTGTATAAAATTAATATTTTAAAGCCATAAAGAAAATAATTTGAGTCAGGCTTAGCAAAGCCAACAATATGATATTCTTCATTACTTTTTATTTTAAGATACAGTAACCATTTATAGCAAGAAATACTGTAAGTAATGTCAAAATATGAAAGACAATTCTTAGAGAAACATCTGCAAAACATGTGACAAATAATGGACAAAATTCCCCAAAATATAATGAACTCTTACAACTTGACAAGACAAAGATGAATAATCTAAAGGACAACTGCTAAATAAACTAACAGAGCTCATCAAAAGAACATCCAATAAGCACATGATGAACCCCACACAAAATTAAAGAAAAGCAAATTAAAATTATAGGATCATGTTTCTCACTTACCAGAACATTGAAAACTTAAAAGCTTGATAATTACCATGTCACAGAAGGTACAGAGAAAAAGATACTTTTATATACTATTAGTAGAAGTCTCATCTTTTTGAACAGCAATTTGGCATATCTTCATAGAAAGAGTACATAGCTCTTTGATACAGCAATGCCTCTTACAGGATTTTTTCTAAAATAAATATATGTAAGCAAGTGGAGGGGGGAGTATATTTCTGGATATTTATAATACCATTGTTTGTAAGGTTAGGCACCGTTAAGTCAGCTCCAACTCATAAAAACCATATGTACAACAGAACAAAACACTGCCCAGTCCTGCCCCGAACCCAATCCCTACTGTACTAGAGACACTGTTGCTTCCACTGTGTCAATCTATCTTGTTGAAGGTTTTCCCCTTTGCACTGACCCTCCACTTTACCAAGCATGATATCCCTCTCCAGGGACTCGTCCCTTCGGACAACATGAGCAAAGTAGGTGATATAAAGTCTGGCCATTCTCCCTTTCAAAGAGCTGCACTTGTTTGAAGACAGATTTATTCATTCTTCTGTCAATCCATACTATGTTCTGTATTCTTCACCAACACCACAATTCAAAGACATCAATCCTTCTTTGGTCTTCCTTATTCACTGTCCAGCTTTCAAACACCTATGAGGAGATTAAAAATACCATGGCTTGTGCCAGGTGCATCTTAGTCTTCAAAGCAACATCTTTGCTTCTTAACACTTTAAAGAGGTCTTTTGCAGCAGATTTACCAGTGCAAAATGACATCTGATTTCTTGACTGTGGCTTTCATGGGTGTTGATAGTGGATCCAAGTAAAAGAAAATCCCTGACAATTTCAATTTTTTCTCCATTTATTGTGATGTTACTTATTGGTCCAGTTACAAGGATTTTTGTTTTCTATATGTTGAAGTATAATCCATACTGAAGACTGTGGTCATTGATCTTCATCAGTAAGTGCTTCAAGTTTTCTTCACTTTCAGCAAGCAAGGTTGTGTCATCTGCATACCACAGGTTGTTAATGAGTCTTCCTCCAATCCTAATTTCCATTCTTCTTCATATAGTCCAGCTTCTCAGATTATTTGCTCAGCATACAAATTAAGTTTGATGAAAGGATACAATACCAATACACCTTTCCTGATTTTAAACCATGCAGTATCCCTTTGTTTTGTTCAAATGACAGCCTCTTGTTCTACATGCAAGTAAAAATATTTTAAAAGAAAAAATAAGAGGCTGGTGAAACCCCTGAGACTATGGCCCTGGCTTACCCTTCAGGCCTGGAATGAGACTCACTCCCATGGGTAAGCTCTCAGTCAAACAACAAAAAGGCCTAAGAGGAGAACATTGACCCCAGGGAGATGCACCGCTTAGAACAGTCAACTGTGAGATAGCAGAAGAGCAGCAGTTGCATAGGGGGAAAGCTAGAGGCAGAAGAATAAATAGGTAAGAAGGACACAGGGAAGGAGTAGTCACAGAGAGAAGATGGGAGAAGAACTGTTTGTTGTGGGGACTGTAATTGGTGCCATGAAACAAAATGTATATGACTACTGAGTAACATGAACCTGCATTGTAAAATTGCACTCAAATCACAAAGAAAAAAGATAAATAAGAAACAAATACCCA